TATATATATATATATATATACCCAAGGGGATGGGTTTAATTCAGATGTAAATTTCTTCAATGTGAGTTCAATAAAGTTCAATTATTACTATTATAATGGTTATTCTTTCATTATTTGTGTCAAAGGAAAGTAGCTGTTTGGAAATAAAGACCAATAAATGTACTCATGGTTTTGCAAAACTTTACTTTGACTTTGTTCTTGTTTTCCTTCCTTTCATGGGGCTAACACTGCTCTTCTGTCAAATGATAACTGCTGTGGTTGCAAAGGTTAAAAAAATGACAGTAGTGGAAATGACAGTGTTCACTAGCAACACATGTTCAATTTATGAAAAATGAATAAAATACTAATGTAGGCCTATATTCCATACACATGATATTTTACATTAATTACAGTCTTAGAAGGACTCAGAGTCTGAAACCTGGCACATACATACCTACATATATACAATTACAATATCTACAATCATCATCATTCCCCTGCATTTTGAAGGTTTATCCTGTTTAAACTGGTATTTAGTTTGGTGTGCTCCTGGCAGTTGAAGTGAAATTCAACCCATTGAGAACAATATTGCTTCTCAGGCCTTCAGACAGAAGATTTTAGCAGATTTTTAGGTGGGACATATTCTACAATATCAGTCTTATTGCAGATTTTCAGTTAAATCTGTCATAGACATCCATTGAGGGACAGTAGATTTGTGTGCAGCTCTCAGGGAGAATTCTCAAGCTAAAGGGTCTCACTCAGGGTGGCATCCTGTGGGATTCAAACAAGTGAACTAACAGACTTTCCAGCTCTAACCACTAAGCCACCCCTCCCAAGCGTAGGACATCTAAAGAAGCAATTCAATGTGCTCAGAGCTGGCCATTCAAGGAAGGTAAATTAAAGGAGTCTCAAAAACCTCAAATAACATCATTATACCTACAGCGAGCTCTTGCTACTGTTTATCTAAAGGCACATGCCAGCACAATCAGAAAGAGACTGGTAAAGTTTAGCTTTCATCTGAGGTGTTTTGCTCTTTAACCAAAACAAAAAGGTTAGACTAACTTTTTCCAAAGTGCATAGACAAGAATTTCTGCAAAGATTTCTTTTTTTTTTTCTGTCAAAAACCAATTAATTTGAACACTGATTGAATAAATTTTTTTAAGAAAAGAAATAAAAGTTAAACATGGAGGTAGAAGTGTCATGGTTTGGGGAATCTACAATTACTGTATGTGTCACAGGATGCTTTATGAAGCTTTAAAACAGTTACACATTTGAGCTAAAGTGAAAGTGTACCCTGTAGCATGCCAATGACCCAAAATGATGAGTGAACCTATCGCGGGCTAGATGGGAAATAAGAAATTCAAAGTCCTGGGAAGAGTAAACACCCTGATCTTCATCTCATTGGAATGCTGCTTTAACCCTACAGGATGACCTGAACTATTCAGACAAAGGTGTCCTACCGCTTCTTCACCTTAAAAAAATGTACCTGAGTAAAATGTTTTTGTTTGCAATCAAAATGTTTTCTTTTCCACAGAGAGAATAAAAAAGGCATGTTTATTGAAAAGAAACAAAATTTTAATGTGTCCCATTTTTAACACAATATGCTGCAAAAATTACTATACATATGAGAGACAATTGGGAAAAAATGCACATTGGAGAGTTTTACACAATGTTTAGTACGGTTGGACTGCTTCTGTGCTTAGAGGAGACACGCCACATGGATGAATGCATGACATAAAAGCTTCGCTTAATGTCCCATTCCCCTTCTAAAGCAGAGAGGAAATCAGAAACATCCAATCTGGAGGGAGAAAAAGGATGGATGTTTGTTAGGTGGTACAAACAACTTTTTTTAGATTATGTTTTTTATTTTATTTTTGGAAATCAATGTATCTTAATCTGCAGGAAGATCAAAGAGATAAAAATTAAATAGATTCAGTGAGAAGATGGGATTTCGTCTGATGGTGCTTTGATTAGGTCAAAAATCACTGCAGCCATCTACAAAGAAATGTTACAGCCTTTATGCCTGTGTACATTCTCAGTTATCTGGGTCATGGCAACCATGGCAGCCTTCCAATTTAAGCCTGCTTGTGGTTATAGCCTTTAGCTTGTTTTTTTTTCTGCATCTTAATGGAGATTTCCCTTTTCAGCAAAACTTAAAATCTGCTCACATAAAAGTACCAGTACCTGCTTTAATGACCGTAGTACAATTGTCATTAAAGCAGGTTCTAAGTATAGACTACATGTTTAAGCATGTATTTAACTTTTTTTAATTAGATTTCTAAACAAAAAAAACAAAAAAAAAACAAAAAAAGATTACAGTGAGTTTAATTGAACAAGATGGTTTATAGATTTAATTGCTTCATTTCAGAAGATTCTACATTTGTACAGTGGGTTTATTTAGGTGCTTTTTATAAATGTTACTGTTGGAGAAAGGACTAAATGACCGTCTAGTTCCTGGGATCAGCATGATTACATAAAACCCCTTCTAAAAGGTGAACACGGCTATCAGTAGACAAAGTGCGCCCCCTGTAGGCATTGAGGATCAAAACATGTGGACAATCAGGTGATTTAACAGTCTAAAGCTATTACTTTATTATGGCGCATCATACTTCATGATAGTAGCAAAAATACAAAATAGGCTGAAATGAATATTCTCTATTTTTCTCTATTGTAGCAAGTATGCCTACAATATGTAAGTACAAAGAAACACCACAGGAAGAGACTTTTTAATTTTTATTATACAGATCTACTTTATGGTACAGTATACGAAAAGCATATAAAAACATACATTGCATGTTCAAAGGAAGTGCAGAAAATTAGAAACAGATTCCCCCCCGAAAGGCTCAACACCAGTTTGCTCAAAGTTTCAGTTTTAAAAAAATGGTTGTATAATAAATAAATATAAATTACATACGAATTATATTGAAAAAGGTCAGGTCATTAAATAAGGCACATCTTACATCCCAAAATGTACCTTGCAAAAACACAGCAACTTCCTAAAGATAATAAAAAAACAGCTTATTTTCCAGCTTACAAAAGGAAGCAGCTTACCCCCTTTTTAATAATATTTTTTTCAGCATTTAACTACCCTGCTGCAGAATACAGTTTATATATTTCAAGCAACTTTACAGAGCAGTGCCTGTCAATTATTTCAATTTCAGTAAAAAAAAAAAAAAAAATGCAACCTTTGTCATCGTAGCACTGAAACAGTATACACCATGGCAATAAATGTGCAATATAAGCAATATATTTAACATGGCATATATACATTGAGACATTGACTGGTGATGATGTAACATTATTGCTAAAAACAATAGAGCCAATTTGGTTATAAAAAAAAGAGGATCCATCACGCTAGACGGTGACAGACACCTCCAGAGCAATTCTCACATTCAAAATGTCTGCATAGTTTGAACTTTTGACAATTGCTTCTTTTGATGAACATGCTCCTCTTAGAGCATTAAAAGTTGTAGAAGAACCGCAGGTGTCAAGCATATTCACTGATTCTGCAGGCAAGTTTCTCTTTTATTCCTGCAGTTTACCTCTGCACAGAACACAAGCTTTATAAAAATAAAAAAAAATGCAACCCCCTCGAGAAACATACCTGAGAAAATACGTGATCAAACTGGCTGTTTTGTGTAAAAAAAACACATGCTTTCAGCACCTTTTAGATGTAGTGGTTTGCCATTTCATTCATTTTTTTTTGGAAAAAAACCCGTGAGCCAAAACATTGTATTTACAAAATCCTTTTTTTTTTTTCTTAAATTTGCTTACAACATGCAACGTAATTTCATTGGAGGCTGTACAAAAGAAATAAATAAAACCGTCAATCCAACAAGCAGAGGGACATACTGCATGTATGATCTACTGTGCAGAAACTGCTGAACAAAACGGAGTGTTTCATACCGGTGGCTACAGCTGTTCATGTCCAAGCCGTCTAATCTGTACACCTTTAAAAAACAAAACAGCACATTTACATATAACGGACTTGCTAATGGTCCCTGTGTGTTATCAAAAAGAATATGCAAACTAAGAAAAATATTTACCCTAGAGAGCTAATGAAAGACAAACATTTATGCACAAATGTTGAAGGATCTCTTTAACACACAAGAAGCTGGTGTATTGGAAATAGCTGGTGTCTTTCATACCATTAATTACAGTATAACAAGTTGTAAAAAAAAAAATAAAATAAAGCAGTCCTGATGTAAAAAAACAACAAACAAAAAAACAAAAATATTATTTACAAATCTGGATCACTCAATACAAAAATAAGAAATTTGGAAACAAAAATTTAATCCAACAAAATTTCATCCTTACCCTATAAATAACACTAATGCCCAAAAGTTGTTTTTTCTGTCGAAAAAGAGCTCAACTCTATACAAAAGTAAAAAAAAAAAACAAAAAAAACATACAAAATGAATATAGCAAAGGAGGACATTAACTGATCTAAGGGGGAATGAAAATGAGGTCTGCCACTGGAGACAAATCCAGGGGGATGCCATGGATAGCCCCATAAATGAGAGGGAGGTCTGACTAAACAATTCACCAAGTTTCTTTCAAATCCTCTGGGAGCTGCGGCTGGAGTGTGGGCACCTGTGATGGTGTCTTCGGTTTTTTTGAGCTGCAGCAAGGCTTGAAAAGTCGGGGATCAATAATCACTTCTCCAAACCGACCTTTGTAGATAATTCCACAGCACACCTTTTGTCTTAATGAAGGAAGATAAAAGATTTGTTTGCTTTTATTTTGACTATTCAGATTTTATATATATATATATATATATATATATATATATATATTTTTTTTTTTTTTAAATAAAAAGGGTTGTAAGAAGTCTTACCTCTTCCAGTAAGAACGATCCAGGAAGGAAAAGATTGAAGGAGATGAACGTCTTTGTTTGGATTCGATGTCTGAACCATCATCTGACTGGTTGCTGTGACTGGGAGACTGGGCAGGAGACATGCTGGAGGTCGTGCTGTGAGCATCAGAGTCTGCTTAAAAATGTAAAACACAAATAAAAACATTTTTAATGAACAACTAGAGAAATAATTATTTTGGGGAAGAAAAAAAAATTAATAACTATTATGATTAGACCCGTCACTTTGCGACCTTTTCATTTTATAATTATGTATTTAAAAAAAAATTACATTTATACATTTGTCCTACTATCCTAACAGAGGATTTCAATTGAATTCCATTAATTTCTTTAGCCTAACCCAAACCATTAACAACACATATTTGAGCCTAAACTAAACCTAAATGCACACCGTAGTCTAATCCCATCAACACAAAAAGAGAACTATGCATTGGGACCACTGGTCCCCATGTACTTGTCTCCACAAGGTAACAAGTACATGGCGACTGAATTGGAAACACCAAAAACTAGATATATTTCATGAGATATCAATATTAGCCACTAGATGCTGCTAGAGATTACTCTTAAAGTCTGAGGAGATCCAAATTAAACCTTAAAAAGCACTGATTTGGCAAATTGTTTTGTCAGGAAATGTACATAGCTTTTAAAACAATTCTACAGAACTCTAAAATTACCATTTCTGATTTTTTTTCCTGAATGTAAAAAATGTTTAACAGGTAGCATATCCTGCAAAGCATAGAAGCAAATATTGGAGAATTATCAAAAGGAGCATCAGAGCTATAAGGAAACAATTAAACAATAATTTTGAACATTTATTCTTCCCAAAATGCAAATAAAAGTCCAGGATTTTTCTCTCTTTTTCATAAAAAATATTATTGTAGAATAATAATTTTTCCTAAAATCATACACTGGTATGCATTATAAACGGTAGCCATATTTTTATCTTTTGCTTTTTAGTCCAATGTAAATTGGCTTTGGAGGGTGGGCATTGGATTCTGCCAATACACCCTTTTTTAGACTGTTTAGGTTATATGGACATATACTGTCCTAATTATATACTTGTATGTCTGAAATAAATAAATAAATCTTCAAATGGTAGTATCCATGTTTTAACCACTCACTTTGTCTCTTAAACTTATGAAGCTTCTTCAGCTTGCTCTTTTTCTTTCCATCACTGTTTTTTATCTTCTTGGGCTTTGTCACCTTAAAACCCGGACCAGCTCTGGCATCCACCACCTGAAGAGAAGCAATTTAATCCAGCAACAAAACTTAAACTCATGCCTGAAAACACAGAACAGCGTTACCACATCATGGACTAAGCAGAAGACATTTCACTTACATGATTCCAGTTCTTCTTGGAGCCATGAGGCAGCTTCTTCCATCTCTTCACCAGCAGCACACATGCATTGCAAATGTCTCCAACACGATCTTCAGACAGCCTTAAATCGACACACAAAGTCAGATAATGGTCTGTGAACTGTAGGAAATGATCATAGAGCTCCAATTCCATCATATAAAATGAATAAAAGGTTTTACCCAAAGCACATCTTGAAGGTCTCCTCATATCTGCTGCTGTCCGTGAAGCGTGAGCTGGAGGACTTGGTTTTACAAATGCAACAGCCTTCATTACTGCGGTAGATCTTTGACTTATGAAAGCCAAACATCCTGAATCTGTTGGTGAGCGCGTGCCAATGAAAGAAAACACCTGGAAGGTAAAAAGAAGAGGCGTGTGATCGCTGCAGCGCTCGCAGTTTTAAAGTCAGTTCAGATGTCTGCAGACAGTTGCTATTGGGAAGGGGGCGGTCCGTAGACACACAAATAAACTGCAAACATTTCTCAGCCATTCATGAATCCTTAGAGCACACATTACACTTCTTTAAGTGAGCTTTTAAAGGTTAAAAAGCTCAAAAATATCTAAAGACACAACACTTTTTTTTAAGAATTAAAAAAATGCCACTTTAGTTTTACTTTACCGCCGAATTTACGGTCAAACTAAACCAAAACACAAAACAATGGCAGTAATACGCAGTTATAAGATCAGTTTACGCTATAAAAATATGAACTTTATATCGGGTTAATAAAACTCACGTGTCTCAACAAGGATCGTAACTTAAAAAGTAGTCAGCGGGATCCTACTGGAGCGCGATTACAGTAATTAAAAAAGAGCGTTAATTTTCGACACAAATGTGCACATAAACAAAAGAAGCGGCTAAATCCCCACGTTTAGAGACAGTGGATGTATCTGCAGCGAGACGTCGTTAAGCGGCAGGTCTATATGCAGCGGCTGCCCTAAACAAAAAGCGGGCAGCTGCACTTTCTGAAATCAAAGACAAAAAGCTACCGCGATATTAAATAACCTGAACAACGGCTACGATTTGGACGCGCTTCGTGTGCGCGCTTTACTCTTTATTAAGAATCGCAAAGTTAAGGTGGACATCCTCTTCCCCTTTAAATTCAAACTTTTCGCCTGCGAGTGCGCCAAATATGGCTCATTGTTGTTAGCTGTTAGCATAACTGCTAGCCGTCGAGGCCACGCTCTCGTTCACTTCCACGTTATCCCATTGTCGACAGGAGTCTTTCCACATTTAACGCCACAAACACGCCGGACACACACGTCAGGTTACCTGAACCTTACAACGTCACCACGCGGTCAGAGTATAACAAAATTGTTAAAGTCAAACTAGTGTAAACCGTGTAAAAAGAAAATAAGAGTGTACTTACTGAACAAAAACTTTGAATCTTCGCCGTCTTCTTTTCACTCACTGCGCATGCTCTTACTACTGCTGCATACAGCTGGTCATTAGAATGTGCTTTGCATAAAAAGCTGGAATGAAAGGGTGAGCGGATACAGACCATATTAGGAGTGTAACCGTTGGGTTTGAACCTAGTCTCGACCAATCACCGCCGCCCCGTCTCACTCTCAAGATAACATGAATGATGGGAGGCGTAGTGAATAAGTGGAAAAATACGCGGGCATCTGATTGGAGGAGGACCCCGTTATGAACTCAAAGTCCCATAATCCCCCTGGTCCAAGTGTTCAAAGAAAAACAGCAGTCCGACATGGCGCGAACGACTTTGTTTACCTTTTCACAGCTGAGGAAGCACATTAACCGGATAGTATAACTGCTCATAAACGCCTCTAAAGTTAAATTGCTACAAGTGATGTCACATTCAAAGATACAGGTGCTAATTAGCTATTGCTAGACACTTATTTAGCAGTATTTTGGTCGCTTAAGTTAAATTACGGCAAATAGCTGGATTCAAACAGCCCCAAAATTCAACAAAGCAGCCTCATATTTTATGTTTTAATCATTTAGGGCCCGTAAAACCAATTCTTAGAAAGCTTAAGCACACATTTCAAATTATAATACACTTACAAATGAATAAAAAAGTAGATATGTTGGCACATAGTTAAAACAGCTGTATGTCAAAAAATAGTTGTGCATAAAAACACATTTTTTTCTCCGCACAGAGCCACAGTGACTATTCTGCTTCTTTCTTTTCATTCATTGTAGATAAAAAGATTTCCAGTATATAGCTACTCGAGCACAAACAGTTTATCAAGCATATTTCTCTCAGACCAAAACTTATAAGTCTAATAAGAAATAAGCTCTTCCTTTTTGTAACTTACAATGAACAAAATGAGTTGTTATTGAGGAAACTTTGCAGGCAGCTACAGAATCACCAAGTAAGTAATTGAACACAAAGGGCAACCGCAGATTCGCCAAACGTAAAGTACTTTCTTAAAGAAAACAATTCCAGAAAAATACTTTACAGATGCTTTATTCTTAATATTTTTTTTTACACTGTACATGGTTGCTCACTTAGTAAACACTACACAAGTATGTTGATAAATGTACAACTGTATTGGAAAAGAAAAATATATATCTCCCAAGATGCTCATATGGGTCGTACACAGATGAGTACAACACAGTCATACCAGAAGCCATTGGCACACAAAAAGAAGTTGGTCAAAACTCTTTTTCTGCAAGTTAAAAGTTAATCTCTATGTGGATGGGGAGAGAACAGTAAAATCGCAGTCTTTCTCTTGTGGGTATTGCATAGCCAGAAACCATGGTGACAAAAATAAAATAAAAATTAGGATCAAGGGTGTGGAAATAAAAACAGTCCTTTGAGCTCTTCACACAATTATTAGGAGGTCAGAAGTCAGCACTGGAACGACTCCTTTCATCAGATTGTAGTTAGAAGAACAGAGTACATGTAGTGTAAGGGCTGCAATGATGGTAATATGAAAGGGCTGCTGGGAGGTATATACACTGAAGGCTGAAGTTGTGAACCACTTTGCAAAAATAACAGTGTCAAGCATCTCTTAGAGCACAAGACTAGGTTTGATCTTCCCGAATCCAGTTGATCATACCGTTTGTGACTGGGCACAGGCTAGAGCCGCATAGTCTCATCATGCTAGGATGACCTTTTCTTCAGGTGAAGGCGTTCCATGTAGAAATTTGCATACATACATGTATGTATGTTTGCCTGGGAAAGACTCAAACTTAAATTCCCTTATGTCTCCATGAGTCACCCTGCCATACGCATACTTATAAAGCATACTTCTACACCGTTTGCTTTAAACTCTGCATTATGACATTTAAAAATCAGATTTGACAACAGAGCAAGCAACGTCACTGATTTAACAAAATAATACTGTTTTATCTCAAAATATATTAACAGTTTTAATCCTAGCTTTCCCTTAAATATAACTGCTGTCATCGAGTCACGGCAACAATGAAAATATTGAGCTTTCAGTAAAACATTAGAGCACAAGGTCAACCCTCATTGTGAAAACCATGGTCCATAATAGAAAACATAATTCTTTAACATCTAATGGCATCGTTATCACCATCCAGGATAAAAATAACAAATCTTGAAAGGCTCATTGCACTTAACATATGGCAAATGTGAAAGTAGCTTTATTAAGCCAGAAAGTGTTCTTTGTTCAAGTCTGCTCCTGCATAAAAAATGTTCATTTATTCCTTTTTCTTCTTAGTGGTCCTCAGTGATATTCCTTTTTGGGTACGACTGATGAAGACAGTGGTTTGGTTTCAGATGCCAACGCCTTTGATTAATGAAGCCTCCAGGGTAATGTTAAACTCCTGCAGAGTCTGCAGCACTCGGATCAGGGAGTTTACCAGTGAGCGGTCCTTAATCAGTGCAACGTCCTCGTACATCTGGGAGGTGATTGGACAATCTGCGAGCAGAGCGATCCAGTGATGCAGCAAATGGTCCCTTCAAAAAAACGAAAAAACAGAGTCAACGAAACACCTTTGAATAAGCCAGAAAAAGAAACAAGCATTCTTGTTTCCATCCAGTGCCCCACCTTGCTCCCAGACAGACGAGCATCTGGAACTTTCCGTCCTTGCCGATGTTTCTCGACGTGCTGTTGATGGCCCGCATGAATCGACAGAAGTGGCGCACTCTGGTTTGCCAGTTTTCATCTGGAGTCGCCTCCCGTTGTTCAGCACTTTCAAAGTATACTTGAGCCTTCTCTGTTCAACGATAAACATATAAACACCGTTACTCGCTGCACAAACATCCAGATATATAACCAACCCATTTTTAGCTGTTGCTTAATCTATTGTTTTGCAGAGTCTGTTTTACACAAACCCTAACTCATTTGTTACTTTGAGGGGTTTAGTCAGACCTTTTCAAATATCATTCAGCTGCAGCGAGAATGGTTAAATTATCAAAACAAAATAGCATCTAATAGAAAATTACCAGACAAAAAAAATGCTTATAAAAAATAGAAATTTTTAAAACACTTATTGTAGACAGAGGAGAGCTTCATGGTATTTTAACTGGACTATGAAGCCATGGTCAGGTCAATATACTAAAAAAACAACAACCTATAAAAACGCTTTGAAACCAGTAAATAAATTACATGTTATAGTTTACCTCAGCTGCCATTACTTGTAAGGAAAATGTTTTTACAATCAATAGCAACATTTCACAAATAAATAAAACCAAAAATTAAAAGACTATAAAAATATAAACTAAAAGCCCCTAATAAAATAAAAATTTAAAATAAAATAGTAAATATGAAGCCCGATTTAAAGTTAATTTAGAAAACATTTATTTTTGAAATGTTGAATACCATATTATTTTCTGAAGGGGGTTATTTCCCAAATGTAAGGTTTTGTTTTATTGAATGTATTTTAAATGCATTTTGTTGTTTTTCTCTGCCGTTTTCTTCTCATTTTGTCAGCTTCAAATTTTTTCATTTTGTTTCCGTTAATAACAGCCTTTTGATGCAGGTTTCTAGAAAGCTGAAGTTCCTACCCAAAAAGTCCCAGATGAAGATGTTCTTGAAAAGTCGAGGGGACTTGAAACCGTGCAGGAAAACTTGCTCTAGAGCCCAGACGAGACCGTACTCCCCGCACAGCAGCAGAGTCAGGCTGCCCCTCTGTGGAGGGCACAAAGGGCATGAAGTTGGAGAGGATTTAGAGAACAAAGCATGCCCCTTCACTTTAATTCAAAAGTCAATTCATTACGACCCAATGTATTGCAATATAAAACCATATATTTTACACGAGGAGGTGTGTTTAAGGTTTCTAAAAATCCAACTTGGTGAAACATAAATGCAACAAATGACTGCAGAAGTAATCTGGATGTAGTGAAAGATTTAGACACTTTCAGTTCTCAACAAGCTGCTTTGTTCTGCTGAAAAAGGTGGAGTACGAATAAAGGGGCTTTATCCATAAAGGTCCTTTGTTCTTCAACTACAATGAATTAGATATAAACCCTATAATCAAGATGCTCCTCAATAATCCTCATGTAACATCTCCTTTTAATTGAAGATATTTACTAAACCTCCCCAAGTACACTGTAATTATTAGTGGGGGATTTTTGGAATCACTGAGGTAGTAAACAAAAAGAAGTTAAAAAAAAAAATTAAATAAATATCAGAGTAACTGAAGGCGTTGTGGGACTGGCATGTTTTTCTTCATTTCTGATAAATAATAGAACTACGTGTTCAGGCTTGTCTAGACTGCTCGTCTCTCACCTCCTTCTCCGGTTTGTGGAAGTGCTTCACAATCCCATTGATGGCCTCTCCCACCCCCTCCTGGATCTGGCCTGTGTTTAACTCTGAAAGGGGAGGAAAAAAAGAAAGAAAAAAAAAGCACAATCGCCATCATTTCATTTTGTTTTTCATCAATTTATTTTTTTTTTCTTCTTTAACTGGTGCGGATGTGAAGATTGGATATGGCACTGTGGCTTACAATACCAGATTAATTCAACTCAGCAGAAGAAAACAAGTGTTTAATAAATGGTCAAATAGGAGTTATGAGGATGATTAACTTACTTGGTTTGCTGCTTGGTGAGATGGTAACAAATCTCCTCATCATCCCAGGAGATTGCTGCATAGGTGGTGTGCGGCACATCCTCTCGTCGTTCTCCGTGGTGGGGGTCATCAGCTCCCCAACAAGTATTCTCTCCAGACTTCCATCATCCACGCCTTTCCCCAACCAGCGGCCACATGGAAACCTAACATCAAGCCCAGGGTGCTGATTACAAAGAAGATCATCTTTTCAACCTGTTCCTAGTTTTTTGGCTGTGAATGGTTACTTACTTGTAGGTGTGCCCAGTGATCTCGTTACGGACCACGACGCACTCCACAAGCCACTTGGCGTACAGTCCTGAGTTATCGTGGCCCATCTGCACTGTAGTTAGTTTTCCGAGGTTCTGACACTAAGACAAAAGGGGAAACCCGTTGATATTAAAGGAAAAAAATGATACAAAAATCACCAATAAAACAGAAAACATGACAACCCCGCGCCACCAAAAAAAAAATCTAGATTACTCATAAAAACATCAAAGCTTTCCTTTTTAATAACACGATTTTCAAGTCCACTAATGTTAAAATCACGCATAAAGTCTTTATCACTTTCTATGCTTTCATCATATTATCACCACATTTACAGAGAGCAATGATGGCATCCGTGACGCCATCTCTAAGAATAATCTTCTGAGTAGCAGCTAATAGTAGCAGCTGTTAGGCTTGTGAGGAAGGTAGTTGCAGAGCGGAGTTGGCAGGGAAATGTGAGGTGGGGAAAGATGTCACTGCCACCTCATCCCAGGGTCATATTCCCCCAATTTTCACTGCATCCACACCGCTCAGCTGTGAACTCTGCAGCTCCGCTGTTATAATAAATGACAGCATTGATAGCTGGTAAAGTGGACTTTGGACATCGAAGTACAGTCCAATTTACAGAAATCTAACTAGGAAGCAACAATCACAACATCTTTATTTTTAAAACTTTAACTTGGGTAATAAAAAATGAGCAGCACATGTAGGATATCAGGATTCACTGAACTCAGCCACTGTGGAGTATAATTAATGCAAATATGAAAAAACCAATACAAAATCTGCAGCAGTTTTAACTTTAATCACTGGCTTTTATTTATGCTCCTTGGGAGTTCCTCTGGGCTTTGCTGCACACCGGAGTCGGATGCGATGGTAATTTAGGGTTAGGTCTTGTTTCAGCAGTTTCAAAGTCAGGCTCAATACATCCCTGGATGCATAATGTCTTCTGCTTTATTTTGCAGCTGCTGTGGTAATATTAAGCTAGGGTTACGTTAGGATCCAGCCTGAATGATCAGGCTCTGCATGCATATAAACACAAGCAGACACCAAAGGACAGCTGATCTACTGGCGCCTAGATTAAATCTCAATTTTATTAAAGATCCAACTCGGATGAGTTGTACAAAAACATAAATAAATAAAAAAAAAAAAGAATAATAATTGGCTTAATTACAAAATTTTGATGAAACAGTTTTGATGTGAGAAATTAAAATATATTACTGTCTTTGCAGAGCTTTGCTGCAGGGTATCAGTGGGTAGTTTAAAAACAAGAATAAGACTCACACTAAAAAGGAAAAAATAAACACCTGTGTCCTGATTTAAGGAACAGCGCTCCTCAGGAAAAGTAAAAGTATGGTACACTGCAAAAACAACTTAGAAATAAGTAAAAATTCCTTAAATTAAGAGTATTCATTCTGAATTTGATCAGGTAAATAATTTGCCAATGGAATTAGTATTTTTACTCTTAAAATAAGATAATTAGATAATATGCAATTAAAATAAGACAATTAAACTTTTTCTCATATTTTAATTGTAAATCGTCTTTTTCCATTGGTGAAGTGTCTCACTTACCTCATAAATTCAAGAAAAAATGCACTTATTTTAAGAAAAAATTACTTATTTAGATTTCTTTTTTTCTTTTCTTTTTG